TTTAGGTAGCGAGGGAGAGACCATTTCCCAGACAAATTAAGACCAACAGACATGTCAATAATGGTGCTCAATAAAAAGGGAGATTTCGTATTTCCCTATCTATGCTTACAATTACGTCTCAGTACGTTGGTTGCTTGTGATGTGAAAACTATAGCTGTATAAAAACAGCGAATCACGACTAAGCTCTATTACAGTTGAATGTCACTGTTAAAAGAAAGTCAAATTGCATTGCTTAGGATTAATCTTGCTAATAGTTATAACCTATATACATATATATATATTTATTTATTTCAAATGGCAGGCGTTTTGATAGTTATCATTAGCCCATTAGTTGACCTCAGGCTTCAAAGAGGGGAGGAACATCAAAGTGACAAGAAGTCGAGTGGGGGGAACAGAAGAGCGATTTACAGCTGTAAAAGTAACAGACAGACAGACAGACACAAAGGTAGATAAAAGGTAAGTTGAGTACTGTGAAAGAATGAATATGACACACAGTGGGGTGATGGTAGTTTGAAGTCAGAAGTCAACTATCGGTTAATAGACTTTTTTGCTGTATGAGTATATGTTGCCCAGGGTGCACCACGTGGGGTTAAGTCTACCGCACACCCCTAATCCATATATATAGTTATCTAATGAATACTCTTATTACAAATGACAAAGTTCAGAATTTAAGTTATAATTAATTAATCAACTTTATTAACCCATATTCTTCATGAAATGCTGAGCAAATAATCGAAATTCCGGAAGGTGTCATGCGACCACGCACACTCTCTCTCTCTTCGGAACTTTAAGCACACTTCTTATCGTTGGAGAAAAACAGGTAGATTCAGAATGAAATAAGTAAAAAATCGCCATTATTATGGATTAACAATTGGGTTAGGTGAAATGCTCTTTGGGAAAACATACTCGAGTGCAAAGAGGTCCACTTCCTATACTTTAATGAGAACTAACAGGAGAATTCTCTTATAATTATTTCTCCATTTAATTATATTATTCGGCCATTATTGACTGATACCCTTTATTCACACTCTTGATAGTAATTTCTGAGCTATTTGAGAAAGACCACTTCGATTAGTACCATCTCCTAGCGCTATATGAACAATGATTATCCGATTCGCTCTTATACCCTAGCGTAAAGTTTAAAAAATACAGAATCCCTTTTCCAACTATTTTGTGGGTGTTATTTTTTTGCAATACGCATATTTAAACATCAAATAACTTAATAAAACGAGTTTTATAACCAAATTTTATAGTCTCCAACTTTCCCGATAAAATCGCACGCACCTGATTTATTATTGCGCGTTTAGGTTAATATCAAGATTAGCTGCACGAAGCGTTTTTCACGCTAATATCATAAATTTATAAATACATAAATATTTCTATGCTTATATAGCTACGTTTAAACAAATAATTTGAAACTTGAAATGAGTAAACTAAAGTTGAACACCACTGCATTTCTCATATTCGTCTAACTCCCTCTCCCACTCCCCCCCCCTCCCCCCCCCCCCCCCCCCCCCCCCCCCCCCCCCCCCCAACACCTTCCAATGTAACAGGGGGGGGAGCAGTTGAATCTGAAATTCCCTTTAACCGTATTTAAACGCAAAAAATTATTTACCAATTATTTAACTGAATAAAACAAGTTTTCAATTTACTTCTTTCCGATTCATGCTTCTTTTAGCCTAAGTAATGGTATGCCCCTAGTAACTTCTCATTAGAAACATCACAGTGACATCGTCGTTTCTACTTGGAAGGCAATTGAAAGTCTCTTGATTAGAAAATCTTGGAAAGGCTTACTGTGAATCACCATGGCGTAGATAGGATGGAAGAGTAAAACAGTTAGCGATTTGGCGTAGGATTAACTTTTAGAGATTCGTCCTAATTATATATCGTAAGCATTTCCTTAAGACTCCTTCGGCATTCAACTAATGAGGGTGGAAGTTATTCGAAGATATTTCACCACGTTAGTTCAAACCCGTCCTTATTATCCATAAGTTTTCATACGAAGGATATAAAGTTGGGGGCTTACATAACCTTCAAGAGTCAGGAAAGGTCATCCATTGAAATTTGATTTCTTACTATTTTCGAGAACGTTCAGTTTTCTTTGAAGATAGGTACTTATTTTGACTGCTATGCTATCAGTATGAGTATCCAAATGTTTATTTGTTTATAGTGTTTGGATGCGTGGCATAATTGAATGGCAATTAGTGAAGAATTACAAAACCCGCGCGGTGGGGAGAGCAAAGGGACATGCACCCACGACATACTTTAATTCAAATTGCTTTTTTTCCACTCCGCAACGTGTGTGGTTCAAATTTATCATCTTCAATGCAGGAGGGATGTTTTGTAGACAAAAGCGATTTGTACTAAAATGCCAATTGTAAGCAGAACTGTTCCGGGCACTTACATGTTATAAATTAGTCTATTTCTCTTGGTACATTCATAGCCATCAATTGAATTTAGGCAACACTACAATAGAAATCTGTTAACTCCCTTCGTGAGATTAAATTTAAATTTCAATAAGGACTATAGTTTAGGTGAATGGTTACACATATTGCAGCGTTGATGAGATTAAGTACTTCGTGTAATCAACCGACTCAAATCGTTGAATATAAGGACATGAAGCAGTGAAGTTTATTCACAAACCAAACTGTGGATAATTCCACGGAGTTCGACTTCCCATTAAGTCATTATTCAAGACTTTTAAACGCGCTATTAACATCACTTGACCCCAAACAAGCCCATATTCTAACTCTAATGACATCTGATCTGGCAGACGAGCGCACTAGTTACTGCGCCAACAATTCAAAATCTAAATAATTTTTTTTAGTTATTTGATATGTTTCCACACTACCTTCCCTTTTTTATTACTTATTGAAATATTTTGCACCTAATCATATGAAGACGTCTTTGGGAATATTAATAAGATAACTCAGCACGTGGGACAATGGCCACTTATCAGACCCATTGAAGGTCTTGAAGAAGTAAATACAGATGGTACCATTTTTAAAAAAAAATTCACATCTATCATTTTGAGTGTCACCGAATGATTTTCATACTTTCTTGTAAGAGAAGAATGCCACAACACAGTTTACTTCCTCCTAAGTGAGCTTCAAGTGTTTCAACTGAAGGTATTTACCCTGCCCGCTTTTTCTTCTACAAGAATATTAAAAATTGATTCGATATATATTGTCATGATCACATTTTTCTTAACTAACTCCTACAAGAATTACATTAGCTTCGACATCCTTTTGCCGACTTTAAAGTAAGAAGCGAACGTCAGAAATTTTGAACGTGTACGTTGAAGCGACGCAATATCAGATTACGCAATTTTTGTATTTTTTAGAAAAAAAGGTAGCAATCGCAGGAAAATTTAGTTTGTTTTCCGCATTTCCTTGAATTTTTAACCTTCCACCAGATAACCGTTCGATACTCCCCTGTAGTGACAAATAAGCCACATAAATCAACTTACAAAATTTATTTCTAGTGAGATTCAAACTATTTTAATTGTCTCTTTGAAATAAGGAACTTATTTTTTCAATCCAATCCAAATTTAAAGTTATAAATAACATTAGCATTAACGAGCCAACACATTTGTTAAAATGGTATATTTAAACAAAAAACACGAGATCTTGATCAATTCCGCGTACATCACTAAGCTTGAAGTTGGTGGAGTTCATAACAGCTATGAACACCAAAATCTTAATTCCCTGACATTTCTGCCATATCGAAAAAGATGTTTCACTTGTCCCTCAACAATCGGTAGATATGTTGAAATCGTTTAATGTGGTCAGCATCTGTCCACGGAATTAAAGTCCTTTCGCTAAGGTGGAAAACCGCTGTTTCATCAACTCCCTCCAGTTCTTCATCTTATTCTGTGGAATTTTTCGCAGTTGTTGAAATTTCCGTTCCTGTAGCTGCTTGAGAGGTCAAGAAATAGTTCCCGCACTCAGAAAAATTTTTAAAACTGGTCCAATAAACAAAATAATGTATGCGCAAGATTAATCGAGTTAATTTGAAAGAAAGAGTTTTTCCCTTGCCAGGTAACTCGATGAACTCGGGTACTGCGAAACTGTCCAAGTCGTGAAAAAAGACCTTGTCCAAAACTTCTCCCTATTCAGAACCGTTTCAACTACAATTATATACCGCTTCAAATATTTATTTGTTTCAAATGGCAGGCGTTTTGACAGTTATCATTAGCCCTTTGGCTGACTTCGGGTTTCGCAGGGGGGGGGGGGGGGGGGGGNGGGGGAGGAACGTCAGTCACAACAAGTGAAGAGGGGGAACAGAAGAGTGAGTCACAGATGTAAAAGAGACAGACAGACAGACATAAAGGCATAGAAAAGGTAAGATGAGTACTGTGAAAGTGGTGGAATATGACATACAGTGGGGTCATGGTAGTTTGAAGTCAGAAGTCAACTGCCCTTTTATTGACTTTTTGCCCAGAATGCATCACGTTGAGGTAAGTCTACCGCACACCCTACCGCTTCGAATAAAGCCAATATTTAAAGAAATTGTGGAAACCATTGGTTTATCCAAAACTACAATTAGCCTCTCTATGGGAAGTTAGTGCCTTCAACGGATCTATTAAAATGAAGAGAAAGCTAATCCCAACAAAACATGCCTTATTTCGATTGGTGCTGTCAATTTGGTCATAGGATCTGTCCATAAATGTCGGCCGCTACCGTATGTATTCTTCTATTCAAGAATACCCCTCTCAGGCAGAATTCAACTGATTCTGAATGCTCAGCTGATTTCTGTCCAAAAGAGCTAGTTCCACCAGCAGCTTTACCCATGATGGATGAAGAACTTAAGAGCCTGGAAAAGGAAAGCGTGATAAGATCTGCCTCTTATTCCAAATCAATTGTCCCGATTTTATTGTTTAGAAACCAAATTCGTGCTACTTGCTTCACTGATCTAAAGGCAATGCAAAGTTTGATGTAGTAGAAAGTTTATTGTAAATCATAGTTGCACGGGAGTAACTAGAATTATTGACTATCAATGTGCATAGTGGCTATTATATCAAACTCCCATTAGGAGTCATGATAGCACCTGCTACTTTCCAAAAAATAATGGATACCACAATTTAGGCCCCGTCTCGTACTTCTGCGTACCTACAAAATAGTTGTAGTTTGTTTCCAGTAAGAATTTCAAGAAGGTGTAATCGCACTACTTCAGCGTATTCAGAGGGATGGTTTTGGTCTTCGGGTTAAGAAACGTCCGTACCTTATGTAATCTATTAAGCAAATAGGATGTATCTTCCGTGAAGCCCATCCGTGTAGGGTTGAAATTTGAGGGGAGAGCCAAGTGGGTGTGCGATAGACTTACCTCCACGTGGTGCACCCTGGAAATATGCCTTCACTATCAACATCTTATTTGGAAGCGGAGGGGTGTGTGCGATAGACTTACCTCCACGTGGTGCACCCTGGACAGCGTGCGATAGACTTACCTCCACGTGGTGCACCCTGGGCAACTTTCAACCCTTGCTGGTTTTCTAAACAATTATTCTTAAGAATACGATAGACTTACCTCCACGTGGTGCACCCTGGACAACGTACTTTCAAATGGCAGGCGTTATGATAGGTATCATGGGGTGTGCAATAGACTTACCTCCGTGGTGCACCCTGGGCAATGTATATTAGACTTACCTCCACGTGGTGCACCCTGGGCAACGTATACGGCAAAAAGTCTATAAACCGGCGGTTGACTTCTGAATTCTAACTACCATGACCAAACTGTATGTCATATTCGGCCTCTTCCTCATTACTCATCGTACCTTTTCTCTGCCCTTATGTCTGCCTATCCGTCTCTTTTACGTCTGTGAATCATTATTCTGTCCCCCATCTTGCTCTTTTACGTCTGTGAATCATTATTCTGTCCCCCTCTCGGCTTTTACGTCTGTGAATCATTATTCTGTCCCCCATCTCGAATTTTTGTCACTTTGATGTTCCTCCTCTCTGTGAAACCCGAAGTCAACTAAAGGGCTAATGATAGCTGTCCTGTGAAAGATTTTTTCTCACTTTAATGTTCCTCCCTTCTGTGAAGCTCGAAGTCAGCTAAAGGGCTAATGATAACTATCAAAACGCCGGCGAAGTCAACTAAAGGGCTAATGATAACTATCAAAACGCCTACCACTTGAAATAAATCAATCTTCCGTGAAAATGGACTTCGTTAGAATCTAGAAAGGCTTCAAGAGATTGAAGCAATGCTTCGCTCACAGACAATACATTATGCTCACTCTTCGTTCCCTACCGATACTACATAAAATACATGTGCATCTAAACGATTTGTAAAGAAAAGTTACAATTTGGAACTGAAATCCATAAAGTTGAATAGTATGCACAGAGCTAAAAGGCATGTCCACGTCTGACATGCTGCTTGAATCTGCCAATTATAGCGGCTGTGGATGCTTCGAACATCTTGAAACGTGTGCTTTAGAAGTCACATGAAGAAAACAAACAGGAAATTCTCCCTGCTTTCCTATTAATTTATCTTAGCATAAGGCATTGAATGACCGTAGCCCTGCGGACGCTTTTATGAAGCGTATACCCAGAACTTCTGCTTCTAAGGGATTCAATATTTCCAAATTCATCCTGAAGAATTTCCTTGCAACCGGCACAACAATTAATATGCACGATCATCGACCTAGTGGCATGTGGACTAGAGGTATTTTCAAGACATAGCGGGGTGGCTTTCTATGTTAAGTGGATGTTGTTGGCCAAACTCTTAAATTATATGCCGTTGCTGGAGATAATGCTTTGTATATGAAACATTATTATATATCAAATGGCAGGCGTTTTGATGGTCATCAATAGCCCTTTAGTCGACTTCAGGCTTCACAGAGGGAAAGGACATCAAAGTGAAAAGAAATCGAGAGGAGGGGGGGGGGAGCAGAAGAGTGTTTCAAAGACGACGGTGGAAAAGGTAGAAAAAGGTGAGATGAGTACTATGGGGTCATGGCAGTTTGAAGTCAGTAGTCAACTGCCATTTAATAGACTTTTTTTTGCCGTATGAGTATACGTTGCCCATGGTGCACCACGTGGAGGTAAGTCTATCGCACACCCCGTATATAAAACATTTCATCACTGAGAATATAAATATGTAAATAACCTCTTATTGCCTCTCATTATTCGTTATACAAAGTGGACGCAAAACGAATGATCTGCGTTTGTGATGAAAGAAAAATCAGGCGAGTTTAGAGTGTTATTTTTAAGGTATCTGGTACTCAAAATACCAACCACGTTGTCAACTGGCATAGTACGTAATCGTAGGTCATTTACCGATGCCTTACCCGTCGACTGGTTCTGCTAAGATATCCTGTTAGGGTGAGTGACCTAGTAATTATTGTGATCTAAGAATAGGGGTGTGGGATAGACTTACCTTCTCGTGGTGCACCCTGGGCAACGTATAATCATACGGAAAAAGTCTATTAACCGGCAGTTGACTTCTGACTTCAAACTACCATCACCCCACTGTATGTCATATTCGACCCCTACCACAGTACTCATCTTACCCTTTCTGTGCCTTGATGTCTGTCTATTTCTTTTACGTCTTTGAATCACTCTTCTGTTCTCCCTCTCGAATTCTTCTCATTTTGATGTTCCTC